TTTTTATCTCCATGGTGCACGCGGTCTATAATTATAACTTTATTGTTGTCAACATTCGATAAAGAAATACCTTGTTATGGCCTAGGCCGATAAAAAATTAGTAATTAGTTCGATTTTTTCTCGCTAGGGGTATTGTTTTGACAAATTAATCCTTTTCTAAGAAATTAACGTACTAAACTGGTTTAATTTACTTATAATAAGCACTAATTTGTTTGTTTTACTGTTAATGTTTAATATTTTTCATTAAATTATTGTAAAATTAAATATGAATAATAAAACAAAAAGTGAGGTTAGGCAACCAAGAAAACGCAAGATTCTTTTTATACGATTTAAATTATCTTTAAGTTTTTATTTGCTTCAAGTTTTCAGTGAAATTAAATGTTAACACAGCTTAAACATTCCAAACTACCTATTTTTTAAATAAAAATCCAAACAAATTGAAATTAGATACCTACCTAGTAGGTAGGTAGTACCTACTTATTAAACAATTAATTGAATTCAATGTAATAGCAAAAATCTATTTCTACTTAAATTATGTAGGTATTGACAAACTGCTTCTAAAAGCAAAAATAATTATTATACATTTAATGTTATCTTTAGCTAATAAATAAATGAGATTCTAAAAAAGAGAGGTTAGGCCGCTTTGATGTTGAATTAAATTGGCCTATACATATAAAGTGCTTTGAAGATAAAATGTTGTATGCCATTCGGCCAAGAAGTGCCTTTTTATGCTTCGCTCAATTGTAGGCCTCCGCTACGCGTCGGCCTTCAAACCTTGAGCTTAGCACAAAAGCCTTACTTCTTAACCTAATGACATAAATAACTATTTTATAATTACGTCAAAGTTCATATTTTAAGATATTTTAAATAATTATAATAAATTTATATAAAATAAATTAAAATGAATAAATTTTATTAAATATAGGAATATTTTAAGTTTATTTAGAATTAGTTACATACAATATTTAAACATAAAAAAATATATAATATTAATTTGTAACCCCATGAAAAGGTAACATATAATTCTACACCATTCAGAAGTATCGAATTTATCATCAGTCTTACCCTGGCATCATTCGTAGCTGTATATTTCCAGTTTGTAATCTTAATCCACCATAAAAACAATAGTAATAAAAGTGCAAATTCATATTAAACCTATGGTTATGTTAAAAAAACAGTTAATTAAGCGCTGTTCAATTTTTAGCATTTGTGACTGTGTTGCTTGGAAAACTGCAAGAAGTGTTTCAGCGGTATGTTCCATATTTTAAGGTCGATCAATAACGAGGCTACATCATGAACGGGTTCACTCGAGTCCTGGCGGATACAGTTGTCTATCTGCCAGGATAACATATTAGGTTTCTGTTTCTCTGCAATATTTATTTACAATTGAAAAAAACATTTTTTGTTTAGTTTATTTAGTTTGGCGAGTGCATTTAAAAAAAAATCGAATTTTTAATCAGAAAAAAACCGCCATAAAAACAATAAAAAAATAGAAGTATCTACCAAAGGGGCATACACGGAGATAAAAATTTTGCCAAAATAACTATCCAAAGTATTGTTAAATGACGTATCGTGAATTTAGTCAACTGTTTTATTAAACTGAGGATCTGTATAGCTAATTTAGCCATATAAATCCTTAGTTTAATAAAACAGTTACCTAAATTCACGATACGTCATTTAACAATACTTTGGATAGTTATTTTAGCAAAATTTTTCTCTCCGTGTATTGTTTCCCATTAGGCACTTTGGGTAAGAATTCAGGCATTGTATGTATGTTTGAGCATTTTAGAAATTAAAAAAAAGTCTGAAAAGGAAAAATTATGTTGGGTTAAATTGCACTACATATATACAAAACCTTTTGGCACTAAGAACTTTTTCCGTCCATTAAAATTGACGACAGGCATTTTGCCCAGAATCCTCTCTAACTGTAATAGTTTTAATACTTATAATTTTATAATCAATACATTATGTATGTTATAAATACGTTTGGCAGCCCTCGCAGCCATTGCCCTAATGCATACAAAATAGGTAATAATAGTTACAGGTACTATCTAGTATAGGGTGTACCATATTTTAGTAGCTGGACCAGTAGAAAGTTATTTTAACTAAAACCTATAATATTATAATATTATATTATATATATATATATATATATATATATATACTGCCGTTAAGTAGTAAACCTATTACTCTCAAATATTGCCGCAACGTTTATCTGGTATAAACTTTTTAAAGTAATAGAAAAAATAATAGATATGAATAGCTGCATATAAATTATTAATTGTTTCGACCTTTACTTGAAATTCTATATTAACTATGTAAATATAAAAACAACTACCTATTTTTTGAAAGGTTTACGTAATTTATTTGAATGTTGACAATTATTGTTTCGCTACAAAGTAGCTTCTTCGGAATTCTGAAGAAGCTCTGTGTAGCGAAACAATTGTCAACATTTAAATAAATTACGTGAAACTTTCAACATTTAAATAAATTACGTGAAACTTTCAAGACATAGTTTTTATATATACATAACTGCATATAAATGTTTTAAAAAGAACTTAATTATAGAAGATTTAGAAAATCTTAAACAACATTATAGTAATAATAATATTTATATATAATATAATACAAATTTAATGTTAAATTATAAAAGTATATGGTTTTTGTCCTAAAATAAAAATCCATTAATTTTTAAATGATGTGCAGTAAGGTAATTTTGGGGTGGTCTGTAAAAATGAGTATTCAAGTGCCATTATAAGGTAAAGTTATAAATGGCCGTGTAGGGTTAAATTGTTGTGTCGCGTGCAGCTACTTTAAGTAATAAGTAGCAGGAATGGTATTTTTATCGATTAAACATTATATTGAAACGCACATAAAATTTGGAAAAAAAATTAAAAAAATGTTTTCTATCTTAAAATGTATAGGTATATCATAACAGAATAAATAAAAAATTCATAACAAATAAAAACCGAATCAAATAAAACAGTTTTAGCGTTATCGTATAAAAAAATTTACGTTTTTAACAAATTGTTTATATAGTTTATACAATATTATCAGGATAAATGTATTGAGGTAAATGGGGCAAATTTTAATAAACGCCATTTTATACACGAATTTAATTTAGGCACGAGCGAGCTTGAGAGGGAGTGCTTAAATTAATGAGTGCATAGAAAAGTTTATAAACGAGGTGCATACTTTACTTTTTCTACGACAAATACTTATTATTATCTTAAAATGATTTAAATTAAAAATATAGAGCGCCATCTATGAAACAATAGGGGAATCTGGGTGTCACCGTCAAATATCAAATTTTTACATTTTATAAACACAATTATAAAACACAATTATAAAGGTTATAAATCGAAATGTATTTCTTGAAAATTGACAGTTTTTCACAGTAAAGTAAAGAAAATGTTTTATGAGATCTTTACAGGGAAGTCCGTGCCCGAATTTAAGTTATAGTTTACTACCGGCGAAATGAAAAGGTCAGCACAATGTTCATATAAACTTTTCAAATATTGGCGTTGAGAAACTATTTAATACTTTTGTATTTTTGTATTGAGATAATAAAATAATTTTTACATTTAGTATTATTTTACAAGAAAGGCAATTTATTTTAACGATTGTATGACATTTGACAACTGTCAACTAACTTAAAACTAACTTCAGCCCGTGACTAAAAACCTGTTGCCAACTTCAGCCCGTGACTAAAGCGCCATAAAGCCACTTGTCAATGTGTATTAAAAAGGTCACTTAGTGTCATGGAAACATGTACGATAAAGGGCGTTTTAAAGGTGGGAGTAGAAAAAAATCTTTATCACTTAAAAGTATGTATGTAGGTATGTATGTATGTAGTTTTGTTTGGCCGAGACTCTGCTCCTTTTTCACAGATTTTTTATGTTTTTATTCAAATTTAAAGTATTTTTTTGCAGCTTAAATGTGATAAAAAATTCTTATATCGCATCCTGTATTAGGTATACCAAAACTCAAATATTTGTTTTGACTATGGCACCATATTTTGTGACCAGCAGTTAATATCCCCCACATAAGTTAAATTAAACACATACATACCTAAAAGCTTTTTAAATAACTCAAATCTTTTATACATTTTTTTACCAATAAAAGACAAACTTTTACCTATTTTAATATTAAAAAAAAATCAAACAAATAATTTTGTTTGTGTCCATACTTTTTTTGAATGCTTAAATTTACACTTTAACTTTACATTGTATTTTAAAGTGTATTTGTGTATTATTGTTAACTGTAATTGTTATAAAAATTATTGTTTTTAAAATTTATAAAAATGATCTGGCAATATACATACATAATATGTATTGAAAAGTACATAAGTATATATATTATATGTACTTTTCAATTGAGCCTTTGTCGCAACTTTTTTTTTGTTGTTTAGAATAAATAATATAGAATATAAAATTCTTCTTATTATTATTAATATTATTAATAAGTTTACTTTTTACGAACTTTTCGATACTTTTTGCACAAGAGCAATATAATATTTGCAGTTTAGGTCTTTTCTGATCTAAAGATCTTCGCTGTTTTTATCCAAACAAATTTTGTTTGTACAAATTCACCAAAAGGTCACCTAACATCATAATTTATAAATTGTTGGCATTTGAAAATTGTGACTTGTAAAAACTTTAAAAGCCACTACTATTTTAAAAATATTTATATATTTACATTAAAATACACAAATGAAACGATTTTCATTTCGACTGAAAATAGGGAATAGCATACCCTTGCAGATTCTCGTAATTCAGTTTGCACATTCATCCATATATTCATGGACTGCGGCTCCCCTGAACGGGGGTGGCAAAATAAGGGGTGAGCCCTCCCCAATTAACTCCCCCCACGCCCCTGATTCCAATTACGCTGTTTGCTTAACATGTTACTTATAGATGCTAATCTCAGTATTTGTTAATCGTTAGTAGAAAGATAAATATTTCTCCCATTCTTTGTTTTAGTAAATACTTTTTTTGTAGGCTTCCCTTCCTAAGCTACCATTACCACCTCTGAATGTGACACTGCAAAAATACGAAAAAACACTAAGACCGCTCCTGAATCAAAATGAACAAGCAAGGTTAAGGAAAATTATAGAAAAGTTCGGAGGACCTGAGGGGCTTGGTCAAAAGCTACAAATTTATCTGGAAAATAGAAAAGAAAAACTGGATAACTGGGTAAATATATGAAAGTGTACCTATCTACCTTTGTTTATATTTTTTTTTGTCACAATTTCCCTATCCCTTGGTCACAATTGCTAAAAATCATTTAAATTTCATTGTTATGCTTAAATCCAAAACGGTAAACAAATTATTGCTATTTAATATCCCCTTTGTGTTTCATAATAATGTTTAGAACATAAAAAATAATGAAACTCTTTATAAAAACATCTGCTTGTTTTAAAATTGCAATGTAGATCAAAATAGTAGATTATGTCATAAGGAGTAGAAGTGACTCTTTTTGTGGTGAGTACATAGATTCACGGCCAAAGCGTAGCTGAGGCAGGCAACTGTACGAAGCATAAAAAGAGCTTCTACTCCAAATAACATATACTTTTTTTTTCAAGGGCGTAATATAAATATGCAGGTCTTCAATTAAATCATGTGAGATAAAATTTTGGCTAAAAGCATTAGAAATTATTGATAAAAACTAAAAAAACTTATAACCCTTACTTACAATGCCGATAAATATCCTAAACTAAAAATAAACACTGCTCTGTCAAAATGCTGCGCTTGAATTAATTTTGACGTACTGACATTTGTTTGGAGTTCCGACATTGGCGACTCGTCTATCATCATTATATTATACTAATAAACTAGTTGTTCTTTATTTCGTTCAATTAAAATTTAATAAATAATCACTAAATATTCCGTGCGATTATAATTAATATAATTAATACATCGTGATTGCTTTGTATGAAATGCTAAATTAATTTTATTATTTGACGTCTATTGAGTCACCCATGGATTTACTTCTATCCCTAGGCTTTTTTGAGTTTTTTGTCTGCCGCTAATGAAAAAGACGTACTTCAACTATCTCTATACATGCATATAAGGTTGTATATCATGGCCGCTTGAAAAAAAATAATAGTTTTTATTTATTAGCCATTATTAACAATATATTGTTATACTGTTTAGACATAGTGGGGATAGCTTGGCTATTTAAGGAGTGAGCGCTTTTGTGTTAAGTATTGATTCCCAAACTATTATGTTTAAACCTATAAAAGTTTGGAAATCATTACTAAACACAAAAGCGCTCACTCCTAAAATAGCCATCTGTCCCTAATTGAGTAATTATTTTTAAACAGTAACCTAAAAGGTTTATTAGTGTAGTGGAGCTTTTATTACAAAGTAACGCGCTTTTTGCATACGCACATTTCCGAATAATTTTATCGTGACAGCCGCCGTATATATCGCGCTTATTACCGACTGAATTTATAATGAAAATACACAATACAGTGTGTATTTCCACTATAGATCTTCCAGATCAAAAATTTAGTTAAATTTTCTAAAATAAGGACTAAGTGAAGAGTAAATGTCTCGCAACTGGTAATGAGCGCGATACAGACGCAAACTGCGCGTTGCCTTTTGATAAACACTGCAACAAAAATCCCTTAAAACTCTTTACAATTTGCCTTTCAAAAGTAAAAAATATTATTATCTTTTAAAATGGTTTTTACTTTTAACAGAGTAGCACAAAGAGTTACCAGAAATTGTATGAAAATCAAAATAATATATATTTTTTATTAACCTTTAAAATCTTTAGGCTTGAACCAGTTTGGTAAGCAATTATATCAAAAGTGTAAAGATTTTTATCTACTCCCATTGCATAATTTTGGTGTTTTTCCGTGAATATTGTTAAGCATTATAAATTTCCTGCCTAACAACGTGAATAATTATAATTATTCATAATTATTATAATAAACTCAGTATTCACGTTGTTAGGCATCAGTGATTGGCTGATTTCAGTATTCACTGTGATTTGAACCAATCGAGTTTTAAATTGGAAGAAGGCGACTATAATAACATTTAAAATAAAAGTAAGGTTAACCATTTAACAGATGTCAGATTTTATTTATTTAATTTTGAAAATCATTTAATTATCTACTTATTGGAGTAGATAAAGTATAGAATTACACTCGAGATTATGCGCAATATTCACTCGGATGATTTAGGTCTCTCGTCTAGCGACTCGAGACGTAAACCTCATCCTCGTGGATATTAGCCTGCATTATCTCTCGTATAATATACTATTAAAGCTAATTTTAGCTAGTTTTAATATTATTTTGTTTTTCATACAATTTCTGAAAAAGTTTAGTGCTGTTATAATTAACTAAAACCCATTATTTTAATAAAATAATATTTTTGTATTATATTATATTATATTGTATTTTGACATTTGTTCTACCTAGAAACTGACAATTTCATGACAAAGGTTAGCAGGTTTCCAGTGAAGAAATTGTTAAATAAGCCCTATCAGTAGTTTAGACCTACAATACCGCAGTTAATAAAAAGTGATTTTGTTAGTTTAACTTGTCTTGAAATATCCAAACAGTTAAAGTTTATATTTTGGCTCGTACCTATAACACTGAACAAAATATTTATGGGTGGTTTTCAGTATCTTTTAAGATTCTAATTTAATTTTGGTTACTTTCTTCAGTTTTTCTTGCTTGGCGCTTTAATTCAGCATTTAAAGCTCTCTTCTTTTTTTAGCTTTTTCCGCAATGCTTCGTATTTTTTCAAATTCGACAGTGGAACTCTAGTATCCGTAATTCTGTTTAAAAAGCACATGAACTTTTGGAAATTCTTTTACAAATTAATTTATTTTGGTAGGGAAGTTTTATAAAGACCAATAAAATATTAATACATTCCCTAAATACACTGATAAAAAATCACATGACCGTCGCATTTCAAATTTAATAAACCATACGACGGTCATGAGATTTCACACTTTTTTATTTGCTTAAAATTGAACGTATCCCCTTATTGTGAATTTTAGGTTAGAATTTCCACCGGTAAACAACAGACAACAAAAAAACATAGCGAGCAATTTATAACTATTTATGTCGTGTTTTATCACTATATTCGGTCTTGTTAATAGAAAAAATACCAACAACTATAACTTATCAAAATATACGACAAGAACTTTAAATATATCGCGAGCTGAACTGCACAATTAACTGTGGCCCTTTGCAATAATAAATTACTTTGTATGTATTTTAATTCACACATGTAGTACCTCCTAGCGGCGAACAAACGACCTAAAAGTCCTTTTACGGTCATGTGAAGAAAACGTCGGGACAATGTTCAATTTTTATTTTTAGCCTAAACATTAACAATAATGGCTATTCAAGACAATTTTATAACACAAAAGACTTCACATTTCTTTAATATCATTTTCTTTGGCTACTTAAAAGTTGAATTATATATTGGATTTTGCTTGAGACAACGGTCATGTAAAACAGGAGTTTTAAAACCAAAATTAAAAAATAAATTCATAATAAATTCATTGAACTTTTAGTACCTATTATAAATCGATAAAAATATGCCTGTCTGGTAAAATGTAAAAAAAAATAATGGTTAATATAAAGGTTTAAGTTTTAATACCCCAGTGACATGGTATCTTAAAACTTACTGAATACCACCCTTATACCAACAATAGTGTTTTTCGGTAGGCGATATTACCTATATACATATAGGTGTGATTTTACAGTTTTGTGTATAAATACATTTGTTGTGTAATATACTATACTATACTATACTATAATATATATAATATATATTATGTATCAAGTTTTATAAACGCCATTTTAGTTACGAGTTTTATTAGGCACAAGCGAAGCTTGCGAGCGAGTGAATAATAAAAACGAGTGTCAAGAGAAGTTTATAAAACGAGTTGCATACTATACTTTATCTACGACGAACACAAAGAAGAATGTAAAGCCAATTTTATTTGTTAAAATTTTGACATCTGTCAACTGTCACCCGAATTTAACCTCACTTTTTCCCAATTTATAATAAAGCCAACTTCAGCCCGTGACGTAAAATGTCGAAAAGCCACTGTTGTTAACTTCAGCCCGTCAATAAAACGCCATAAAGTGACAGCTCGTCAATGTAGGAGTAGATAAAAGTAATTACAAACCTTGGAACATACAATTTATAAATTGGAAAAGAATCCAACCGTTTTTAAAATATTTGCCCCATAACTTATGTGGTTTGATACAGCGTTGGATTCCTTGATTTTTTTTTATGTACATAATTATGTAAAATTATAATATGGCAAAAAAACATAAGATGGTGGTGAAATCTGAACATTTAGAAAGCGAAAAAAATTACAAATTTGATGAAAATGAATATAAATGTGTTTACATGTAAAAACCTTTTTTCCAAATTTCCATAATAACGACGTTACATTGATTTTTGGATTTGACAGGTTTTCAGTTTTTTCAAAATTATTTAACCCCTGATTTTTTATCCAACTTTTAAATGCCATGTATTAAATCAAAAAAAATTTTGATCTTCATTTTCCTGAAAGCGGGTGTTTCTTGAAAATGACCCTAATAGAACTGCAGGGTGCACCAAGTATCCTTCTATATATGGGTCTTTTTGGTTTGAAGGTCGGTTAAATTAGACAAAAGTTGTCTAATTTAACCGACCTTCAAACCAAAAAGTTACCCATATATAGAAGGGTACTTGGTGCACCCTGCAGTTAATCTTCTATTAGGGTCATTTTCAAGAAACACCCGCTTTCAGGAAAATGAAGATCAAAATTTTTTTTTGCTTAAATTGACTTTTGGTTAGATTTTATAAATGCTTAGAGTTTTGTTTACTTACATTTAAGACAGGCAGTGCACTTTTTAATTTTTTTTTACGTTTTTTTCAGAAAAATGTGTTTAGCTAGCTTTATATGTCTCCACTTTGTTACCAATTTGAAATCCAAAATTTAATTCAATAAAAAAAGTTGTTATAAAAATAATTTGAAATAAAATGTACTTAGTTCACAAACTTTTGACTTCAATTTTATTTTTTATTAAAAATTGTATACCTTTTTTAAATATTTATGTTAGTTAAGTTACTTTTAAAAAAAAACCATTCCGATTCTTTGTTAAAAAAACAATACCATTAATATTTTCTTTTAGTCACTGTAGTATTAGTGAGTTAAACTCTAATTTATAAAC